CAACTAATACCAAATATTATATAGATAGATAGAGTATATACAAAGTGTATATGAGTGATGAAATAATTATATACTGCTTATCACTATGGAGGCTGCTGCAGTGTGTCGGACCGAGAGGGAGATATGTAAACAAAAAACTGTTCAAACTGATACTGGCTACTGATAATGGCAAGAAGCAGAGACGCCTGGTACAGCTGCTGCCGTATAAATTACTATCAGGACGCGGACAGAGACAACGCTCATTATCAGCCAGGCAACGAGAGAGCGGGAGAGTGAGAGAGAGAGAGAGCGGAAGATGCAGAGAGAGATAAAGCGGGATTGAGGGATAGAAAGGGAGAGTGAGAGGGAGAACTGGAAGGGCGATAGCAGCGCCGGGTTTTGGTTTCTTTTCAGATTTTTTGTTGTCTGCTCTCACATATTTTTGTAATTTTTGGTCAGACAGAGCTGTCTGGTTGCCCCGAGGAGCAGAGCGAGCAACTGAGCCGAGCGACTGAGACGTGACTTTCGGATTGTGCCACAGGCAACCTGTCATAATTATCTGGGATACGCACTCAGTCAGTCAGTCCATCAACGTCTGCTTGTGCCTCAACATGTGGCTGCTGCTGCCGATACTCGTCTACTCGCTGATCTATCTATATGTTCGGCACATCTATAGCTACTGGCGGCGCAAGGGCTTCCCAAGCGAGGCGACCGCATTCTCCTTGCGCTATCTCAGGCGGTTCTATCACCGCGAGTTCCGGCACGTGCAGGCCATATGTGAGGCCTACCATGAGGGACGCGATCGTCTGCACGGCATCTACTGCTTCTTTCGGCCCGTGTTGCTGGTGCGCGATCCCGATCTGGCCGGCCACATTTTGCAGCAATCGAATGGACATTTCGGTGAAGGCAAATGGGAATATGTGAAAAGCTATCGGCGCTTCAATTTGCTGGAGAAGCTATCGCCCATGTTCAGCACGAGGCGTTTGTCGCCAATGTTCAACAATGCCCAGCGCGTGGCGCAGCACATGATGCAACATTTGCTGGACAGGGAGCAGCAGGGCAGAGTGGAGCTGGATCTGCAGCAGCTGCTGCGAACGTGAGTAGCATGTCAGAAATCAAGTCCAACTCTGATTAAACTCCATTAAACCCCTAACCAGTTATGCAGTAAACATGATGGGCAATCTGGTGTACGGCCTGGATGTGAACAACTTTGAGCAAACGGATCACATACTCAACAGCTATGTGCAGCATCCCTCGCAATACGGCGTACTGCAGTCCATGTAGGTATCCGTAATTCCGTCTAACTAATTCCGTATTAAATAAATTTCCATGCCTAGCACTTTGAGGGGCACGCCACAGAACTCAACGCTGAGCACTCGCCTTTTGGATCTCGTCAAGCAGAATGTGGAGCTGCGCGAGCAGAGCGGCATCATGCGTAAGGACATGCTCCAGCTGATGGTCAAGTTTCGCAATGGCAACGATCTCAGCGATGGCAGCGACAAGTGGCAGATCGAGCATCCATTTCGTAAGTTACCCTCTCGCCCCATCTCTCGCTACCATATGCCATAGCTTTAGTCTTTTTCAGGCACAAAAGATTACAAGCTGATGTCCATCGAACGCCTGGCCAAGGTAGCTGAAGACCTGCTGCACTCCGGCTTGGACAGCATAGCATCGACCATAACGCTGACGCTCTATGAGATCGCGCAGCAGCCGCTGATTGTCGAGAAGTTGCAAACTGAGATTAAGGAGCTCAACTTTGTGGATGGTCAGCTGACGTTTGAGCAATTGGGGCAGCTCAAATATATGGAAATGTGTCTGAAAGGTAAATTTACAATATTCTTTTGCTTCATCTCATCCCTTACATTGCTTGCATACGCTTCATCGCAAGTCTCGAACATGTTGCCAACTCGAGCAGTTCGAACTTCTTTCATATAAACGTGTTCGGGTTTGATGAGTCGTCTATTTGAACTCGAGAGTTCGAGTCTGACCGTTTTCGCTTAAATCGACTGAGTTTATTGCAAATTATACACCCGACGCTTGGGTCTAACTTAGAAAATCGTAACGGATTTATCCGAATAGCGTGCTTTACTCTCCTGCCACCACTTTAGTTGAACTTCACGCCTTTAACCCTTTAGCCCTTACATGGCGTCCCTTAGCTTCACCACAGGCTTTATTGTGGCTGCCATTTCAATTTGAGTAACCTACATCAATCGCAACTAAATATCCCATTGTTCTGCCTTACAGAAACCCTTCGCAAGTATCCACCAGTGCCCATTATAGAACGCATTTGTCGCAAGTCCTACACATTGCCCGGCACCAAATTCAGCATTGGGGAGGGCAAAACGCTGATGGTGCCGCTGCTGGCCATACAGCGGGATGGCAAATACTTTGGTGAACCACTGAAATATAAACCACTGCGTTTTCTACATGACAAGAGCCAGGATATCAGACAACGTCGCTCGGCCTTCGTGGGTTTCGGCATCGGCGGTACACAATGTGCGGGTAAGTGGCGAGAAGAAAGGCATTTTTATAGGTGAACAAAATTAAGCTTTTTTCGTTTCCCTTTTCGCAGTACAAAACTTTGCCAAAATGGTCATTAAACTGGCGCTTGTTAAGCTGCTGCAAAACTATCATTTGGAATTGGATGCGAGTGCTGTAGTCGAGGTCTCGCATCTGCCGGCGCCGTTCATAAGCTCCAAGGATGGACTCAAAGTTCAATTAAAAGCGCGAAAAATTTTAACACAAAGCAATTATCTCAAAGGTTCAAAACCTATTTAATTTATGCAACACGTGACGTATTTTCTTCTCTCTCTCTATATATTTTTTGTATACTTTTCCAACACTTTATTTGGGTATTGTGTTTTGCTAGGTGTGAGCACCTAAAAATATGCCATAAATAAAATCAGTAAATAATGGCCTGCGAAGTTGCGTTGTTCTCGATGGTATACCCTGTAACCAATGAGAATGTGTAGAAAAGGGTATATAGTTTTTGGCGAATGTATGTAAGAGGTGGGAGAACACGTCTCCGACTTTGTAAAGTATTTATAGTTATATTCGTGATCAGGACGAAAAGCTAACTTTGCCTGCAAGAACTCGTCGAATGCGGAAAATAATGTATATATCAATATTTATCGATTAAGAGATTATTTATTTATAACTTGTGTATCGTAAGACACAGATTCGTAAGACACAGATTCCTAACGTCCTATGTAAGTATGTAAGGCCAAATGTTTATTTGAACAATGTTTATTTAATGCAGGGTATCACCTAGTCGGACACTCTAGAACTACAGCATTTGGACTTGTTGTCTTGTTGTCTGTTCATTTCGCCTCGTTAGCAACGTGCAAAATGCCAAAGGTCCTTGGTTCTTGTGACGCGCACACGCGTCGTATACGCAACGGCGTTAAATTAGACATTACATGTGTTTGTTGTTCGTATTGTTGTTGTTCTTATTGTTGTTGTTGTTGTTTTGGCTGTGGAGCAAATCATCAGGCGTAAAAGACATGATCGAGCACATGAGCTTATCATTAAATTTGATTTGCTTTTTGATTGTCAATACACAAGACATGCGGCATTGTCTCATTGGCACCGACATGGAAATCTGGAAAAGTCACAGCAGCCCCCCAACCCCTAACACACACCAAGGCAAAGTTTCGAGCATCTCACTTAGTTGGCCATTAACGAGGCCACAATTAGGCCGCATTATGAACTCATTTATCAAGCTGCCAAGAGGAAGAGATACCATTATGTGGCACTAGGAAAAGCCATTGCAATCAGTGTAAAACATTTTGCAAAATTAAGAGCCAGGCTAAGCAATCGCCGCCAACCCATTCCAAGTCTTATTACCGAGACATCAAATTAATTGAGCTCTGTGGGTGACCAGAATCAAAGGCCAGCCTTTGAAATTTGAGCATAGAACCAGCGGGCAGCGAGCTGCCTGTAATGAGCCGGAAATTGTGTGCCTTGCTTCTAATGGCAACCGAATTATTAATTGCGTATACGCCTTCATGGACACAGCCTCGACTTATTGAATCGCTTTAAGCCAAAAGAAGACGCAGATGAACAGGTGGCTGGCGAAATTAAACGACTACATAATACTTTTTGTATAGGACAATTGCTGATTAAAACGGACAAAAAGAGTCCCAAGGATTATGGAATTCCAAACTTATGGAGCTGTGCATACACATATAATATATGTATAGTATTATATAAATGCAACTTATTTGCTTTCTGTCAGCCTTAAAGGTTGTTTAACTCTAGATCTTTAACAGTTTGAGCTTAAAAACACAAAATATTTATTGATTTCGATTAATTGATTTGAAATTTGAGTCAGGCATATGACAATACGAGCATACAACTAATATGCCCTTCCTTTACTTTGCGAACAGCGTATAACAATTTAAAGAGCACAACGAATACGTGAGTTTTCAGTTGCAACAACAACAACAGCAAGAAGAAGGAGAAGAACAGAGCTCTTGACATGCACTGACCCAGTTGCCACATGTCGAGGCACCGAATATAAATTGCTTGGCAGATTCGCTGCAAGATTTCCTCGTAGATTTGCCCAGGCCCCCCAGAGCCGAGAGGGTACAAAATAAAGCGCCGCCCTGGCATTGTCCCGATTACATTTAAATATAACACATTGCATATTAAGTGGTCAAAATGGCAGGACCTGCAGCCGTCCTCTCACCCACCCAAACCCAAAATTCCCTGTCAACCCACTTGTTAAGCTTAAAGTGTGCGCTACAAAGCAGTCGACGAGGCGTGAAATATGCGAGCGCATAAAAATTTCATTTAAATGAGAGAGAGACAGAACGAGTGAGAGAGAGAGAGAGAGAGGGACTGTCATAAGTTAGGAAATTTTTTTCTCTTGGCGGCATTTGACATGGAGAAATTACTTAAGTGTTTGCTAATTTTTCATGTAAATTTTATTTCTTTTCCTTCTTTTCTTGTTTTGGTGCATAATTGCCATGTGAAAAAGGCGCTGAAAGGGAACCCCAATTAGCAGCGTATTTACTTACCATAATTTAAGATTTAAGCTTTGCTCGGCAACAAATTTCAACTGCAAAGAGGGAAGAGAAAGAAAATGTTGAAAGTTATTACGATTTGTATTTCTAATGAGTTTGCTTTATTAAATATCAAGTGTTAGTTTAAGATACTTGTGCTTTTTTTTTTGGCTGTAGACAAGTTCGTTACAAATTGTTTGTTATTGAATAACAATTTGTAAAAGTTCATTGCAGCAGTTTGTTATTGAACTTTTGGCATAACTTAAACAAAAAAAATGCTCAATGAAAACTTGAACTGCATTTGGTAAAAACAACAAGCGACAAAAATGAAAGATACAAAAACAATCAAGTTAGTGTGCTTTTGAGAAGTATGCGCTCGACTGGGCAATACCCTGCACCATATTTTGGAGCTATAATATATAGGTGTTATGTTCCAGAGGTGTCTATTTATTAAATTAGGACTATTTACCTTTTAAAGCTTACAAGATGTGCTCAAAAGACTAAATCGATATTTATCGATTTAGTTGAAACAAGGTGAGTTATTGATCGATATATGTTGCCCCGAACAAGTCGCGCCTTAGGAGAACTTCAAGAATCAAGTCAAGTATAGTCTCTATTATTTCATGCCTCTATTAACACAGGGATAGACAACCCTATCGATACTTATCGATTTTGTGAACATCGACTCGTTGATACGAACAGCCAGGCATTATCTCGGCTGTTCATCAGAGAGAGTCGTAGATTTTTAATTTTAACTGTAACATACGTGCGCACAAAACCATCATACCCATTCTCAATAGCTACAGGGTACACAAAAAATGTGACAACAAAAAACTACACGATCTGACATAAAAGGTTATCAGCGACGTCTCTTTTAATTAACCAATTGACATATGACTTTTGTGTGGCAGTTTGTTGTTCTTCTGTTTCTTCATTTTTATACAAAGAAAGATGTTGTTGTTAAATATTGTTGGACAAAAGTTGTGCAAACTTTGAAAAGTTTTTCAAGCCAACAATAAGTAGACAAAGCGAATTCAATATTATATAATAAAAGAGATTAATAACGGGCGGTTATTTTATAAAAATTTCTCTGCACACACATGAAATTTTAAACAGTTGTCTAACTTGAGAAATCTCAAGAAATATTATGTCATTATAAGCTTTACAAATGACTTCTATTCATTTTTCCAAGTATTTTATGCGAACTTAATGAGCCAAGAACTCAGCTTTTGTTTATGTTCGGCTGAAAAGTCATTTTAACTGGAGAACTGGGCGCTTGTGTATTCAACTTAAGAGTTTAAGGTGTGCGAATAATTTTTGTGGCAACTGTATGCGTTTTCTATGGTAATTGACTTGGCGAGAAACAAACTGTATTTCTTATAACAACACGACAAAATATATCTTTGAGGAAGTGTTGAAGCACTAGAATTTTAGATGAGATTTATTTTATAGATATTTGTTGACTTTGCTTTAAATTATTTTAATTTTATTAGAAGCTTTAAAAACTTTTTATCGAATTCTCTGAAAATTATATTAAAATTATAGAAATAATATTTACAAGGCCCGGAACTACCTTGAATCTGTCTAAGCTTGTACTACCCCCCTTTTCGTGTTTATTTGCTTAACATGGACACACAAACAACAATTTTCCAACACGAACACGATAATCGCTCCACACTAGCTGCATAAATATATATTCTTTTTGGTTCCCACTCAACTTGAAGTCGTCTTAGCCGGGAACTCTGAGCATATTTTCTGCATATTCATTTTACCACTTCTGTTAATTCGGCACTTAACTGTGCTCGGACTTCAAGAGCGCCCAAGCAACGACCCACGCGACCTCAGGGCGACACAGTAATAAAAATAAATAAGCGTCAACCATTCTTTACACACATGCAACCCATATTATATATATATATATATATATATATTCTTTCCATTTTTTATTTGTTTAACAATTAAATTCTGTGTGTATTTTTATCATAATGATCTTGGTGAGTAAACGCTAAGCAGACAAACAGAATGACAAATTGTGAGGGACAATTGTTGTTGTCATTGTTATTGCACTCCTACTTAAATAGAATATGCATGCAACATCATATACACTCGAAGAAATCTAAAAGCATTTCGGGCTTAAATCAAACAGAGACAAAAACTAGTCAAAATGCACTCAAACGTTTTAAGTTTTAGTAATTTGATATAAAATAAAATTAAGTCTCCTTTTAAGGCAATAATTTTAATTCTAGAAATTATTTAATAAGTGTGCTCTATAATCATTCCTTGGCTGCTTTTTAGAAGTTAACTCTACACTCTCCACTACTAATTTCGGGCTGCTTTTTACAGGGAATCTCAAACCTAATTTGATAAATTCTTTTATAAATTACTTATGATTTCTCAGGGAACCTTAATCCCAACATACTTAAATATTGGTATGTTTATAAAATTTTAAAAAAATATATATAATATAAGAATTTTTCTCTAAGTGTATTTATGTAGTAAGCCCCATCACTCATGCATACAATAACTTATCTCTCTAAGTGTATGTATGTAGTAAGCCCCATCATGGTCATGCATTTGTAAAACAGTAACTTTTCTCCAAGTGTATTTACGTCATGCACTGGCTCTGTTGCTGCATTGGATTTCTTGATTCTCGGTTAACTTCGCTGGTTAAGTTAGCTCGTTTGCTGGCTGTGGAGTTGACTTTTTCAATTTGTGTGCGGCGTTGCATACACATACATATGTGTAATTGTCGCTGCAACGTGCAACGTGCAACATGAGGCAAAAGATGATGCGGCTGCTTCTTTTGATGCTGTTGCTGCTGCTGATGATGCTGCTGCTGATGTTCGGCGTTGTGCGTGCAGCTGTTTTGCTGTTTGCTTTGTTTATGTGGTTTGTTTTGTTTGTTGGCCTGGTTCTTGATGTTGTTGCAGCGCTTGTCACAATTGTTGCTGCCGCTGTTGCTGCTGTTGCCGGTGTCTGCGCACAGTTGCTTTAATTATTGTCGCAACACTCGCCTGCATGTGTATTTGCCTGCTTGTCGCTGTGTTTACTTTTTTATATTTATGTGTATATTTATATCTGTTTCCGACTTTTAATGAATTTATGTATATGTGTGCTTCTGCCTTGCATTCGCCGAGGCGCTTAAACAGTGCGCAAAAGAGCACTTCAATTACATTTATGTACAATGCACATCCATAAAAAAAAAACAATGCGAATTAAGCAGTTAAAACCAAGAACAACCAGAAATTACTGCATAAAAGTAATCAGTCGACAAAGTAAAATACATTTATATTGACTTTAAATGTGCGTTCAGGATTAAAGCGCTGAAAAACTAATTTTTTGTATATGGATTTTGCTTTATGGATGTGTGAAAGCATATTGCTTAAATTAATTAATAATTGACAACAAAAAACGTTAAATATTTTGTGTAAATATATATATTTTTGGTGTGAATATTATTGTCAAAGGGAAACTAAGAGAGATGAATCTGTCAGACGATTATTTTTTATCATTTCCATTTCTCATCATTTCAGCTGACACTTAAATATTAACAATATTATTATTAGTAAATCGGTAATGTATCTTCCAGGCGATACATATTCTCATGTTACCTAAATATTAAATACATTATTATTAGTTAATCTTAAATGGGTCCTCCAGGCGATATCTATTCTATTCAACTAGGCGACACACCTAACTAGGCGTAACGCCTTTATGTATCCCTAAAACTATGTTTCGCCTTGGAAGATAATAAGGCGAAATGTTTGCGATAGTTGTGATGAGCTGCTGTTTGAATTTGCATTCTTTTGGGCTGCCCAAATACAAACCAAAACATTCCCGAACGCAATTTAATATATGTGACCTATTTGGCAGGACTCCAGGCACACTTCGATGTGACCGGGTCGCAACTGTACTTTTTCTATAACATATATATGCCAAATCAGCGTAATTATGAAGCGTAATGCCATAAATTGTTACAAATTGTGATTTATTCGTGTCATAAATGCAGAAACTGTTGCCAAATGTGCGAAACTTTCATTTAAATTGTGCATTGGGCGTGCCACTGGCAGGCGCGTGGAGGCTGTGGGGGGGCGTGTCAAAGTTTAAATGCGATTATAATGATAATTAATTATGCATTTAAATTAATTAAATTAGCACGCACAGCGAATTGTGGACTTTGCATAATGCCAGCTAATGCTGCTGCAAATTCAATTGTATTTCCAGATGGCCAATAAAGCATTTAGTGTCAATGTTGTTGTTGCTCGTTTGTTGTTGTTGGTTCTCGGTTCTTGTAGCGCGTAAATTAATAAACATAATTTACACCTGTGTAGGTTTGCCCATAGCACGCCACACAAATGTGCAAATTATGTATTTCAATTTTGAACAGATTTACAAATTCACGCCCCCAAAGAAAATTCCTGAAATCCATTTTTTTTTGCCGCTGCCAAAAATATATTACTCCCAAAATAGCATGCAGCATGTTGCTATTATTGTTGTTGTTGTTGTTGTTGTTGTTGTGGTTATGGTTTTTATTCTTATATGGTCTTTCATGTGACAAACTTGGGCAATTTCCGTTGCACGGAAATGTGCACAATTTAATTCCTTTCCCCCATTTATTGTTGCTGTGCCCTAGCAACGGGGTATTATAATTAAGACAGCAAATATGTAACATCTTGATGGAGGCATTGTCGTGCTCTGTTATTATGCTCTGGTTGCCTTAACTTAGAAACTATTTTAACAAAATGTGTAAATATAAATGGTTTCTTGATAAATTGGCATACTTTTCCATGGCTAAATTGTTAAGTTATATAATAAATAAGCAATATCTTTTTCGATTTTCCTAACATCGTTTGGATACATACAAATTAGTATGTAGATTTACTTATAGTATACACAGATTAAGAAGATATCAATTTCTGAAAACCTCGCCCATTCCTCCAAAATAGAAAATTCTTAAGCTAGAGCCTGGATCCTTGGAATTCATAGACAGTCGACTGCCATATTCATTCCCTGAAAATCTTACAACAGTCGTATAACAAACATCGGAGTTAAGCAA